GCAAAAAACGTTTTGGAAAAACGGATATTGCCTCATTTGGGTCAATGATAAATTGATAACTTATATTACAATTTACAGATATGTATATATTTTTCTAAGGAAAGAGTTACAGTTTCTACTGGACTACTATTGATTCAAATATGATTTACATACACCTGTTTCGATTTCATTGTGAAATTGAAAGTGGCGTGATTTATTGAAAAAACAGAGACTCGTACAAACAAGTAAAAGTGGTGTTTGAAGGTTTTAAAATGGTTAGATTACGAAGAAAATATGTAGTTTCTAGAAATTAGGGGAAGAAAAAAACATTATCAGTTATAAAACTCGCACCTGAAACTTACAAGCCTCACGTCATGACATATGATATCACAGAATATAATTACAAGTAATTTATAAACTGAAGCACATGTGGTTTCCGTTTTTTGCTCCCATCTCCATAATCACCAAGACTAAATGAGAAATCACCACCCCCTCACAACTTGAATAATACCAACTCCAAATTTAGACAAAAATGGAAAAGAAAAGCTACAATAGGTCCTTTCTGTTTGTCAAGAGATCAGTCACTAAAATCAAAGCTTCCACTATGAGAGCTGCTGCCATTACGACTATGCAAGGATAGGCCTCTCATGTGACCGGACAAATTAGAACCATCCTTGTTTTCCTGAAAAAACCTCTCCCTCTCCATGTGCTTTGCAGGTGGTGGTGGAATTGATACATGAGGAACCTCCCCATTCTGCTTCGGTCGTGGCGGTGGCACCATAACAGGTGGAGATCGAGTATCAGCTTCTCGAGATGGTGGCTCTAACGAGAGTGGTCTTATTAGTGCACGATTGAGCCTCTCTCCAAGCAAACCCATGCGATGGATGTCGGCGGTTTCAGTCTCCTCATCTTCAGGCCTTGCGCAGGCCTTTCCCGTGCGCAATCTGCAGGCATTAGTCATAGAAAAATGAAATAATATTGAAAATTCAGAGTTATCCTTCATTACAAAAAAAGAAATAAATTGAATTACAAGAACAGGTAGTCACCTTCGAACTAACTGCTCAGGTTCCTCTTCCACCTCAGCTTCTTCGTGATCAAATCGAGGGGCAATTGTAGTAGTTCTAGGCAGTTGTTGTAGTTCTGCCAGCAAGAAGGTCATCATGTCTTGCAAGAACTTTCTGAAGTTGCTCATTCAATTCAATTGCTCGAGAAACTATGCTTTCATCTCTGCAAAAGACCAATGCAAAACCAGTTTAAGGAAAAAATTAACCATATAATAATAAATAGATGCATTGTCAGGTTGTACATGTGCAAAACTGCAAATACATTAATATTAGGGAAAATTACAGGAGAAGATTTCATTCTGAAAGTAAATCCAGATTAGGAATAATTAATTACTTAACTTGTTGAATATGTTCAAATACTGATTTCTGAGTAACCCTTTGTTAATTGGTTTGTTCAAAATACTTGAAATGTTCTTATCATGAGTGTATCTTTGTGGTTTTCCCATAGCTTTTCTTGGGATCATGGTAGAGCTACTACGATCATACCACGCTGCTAGTGCTTTAAGAGATCAGTGAATCTCAAGTTTCAAATACTTAATAGTTCTTGTTATCCAATACTTGAATTCATCCTCTTTTAGGAAGAGGCAAACACCAAACAAGAAAACTAAATCTAAACAGAAATAAATCCAATCTAAAATATAAAAAAAAAAAAAAACTGAATAAAGGAATGAGTGAGTCTAAATAACAGAAGCGAATCCGAACAGATCCTATCTAATTGTATCAGAATTGGATTCAAGTTAATTAGATTCTATCTAATTATCAGCTGCTGAATCCATTATTTCCGGCCTTGGCCTCCTTCAATGTGTATCATATTGCGGGTCTAACAGATTAACACCAAAACTCTACTGTATATATTATTAAACAATCCAACATAGTTTTCTTTTTTGGGGCTTGCAATTTGAATAAGATGAGTATCAAAGGAAAATTCTTAGAGCTACCAACAGACTACAAGCAAAGGCATTTACATTCATCCTCTAAACCATCTCAGTTCCACAAAGGATAAAGAAGGAAATTGTACAGAAAAATTTAAGTAAAGAGAAATTTGAAGTACCCTTACCTAGAAGGCATCACAAGATGCATAACCCTTTGCTTTTGAAAGGAACATTGTTCTACAAGATTAAGAGTGAATTCATCCCTTGCTCCTTAGAAAGGAAAACCTTTATAAAGCAAAAGTTAGGATGTAAGTATTTACAGATTCTACAACAGACTCGTAGTAGTCACCTAAGGATTTTGAGCATCAACAGCATCAAGGACCTCTTTTAGTACTTCTAATGTGTTGCTAGCCTTTTGAATAATGCTGCAAAATATAAGTAGATGAAAATGAAGATTTGAACAAATATTTTCAGAATGACTATCCAAAAAAAAAAAAAGATTAACAAAAAAGTCACCCCAAAAATAGATTTTGAAACTATCATCTTACCATAATAAATCATTTTGAATAGTGTCATCCAGAAAAGAATTTCTAAAGATCCTGTCAATCACAAGTACACTAAAACTTAAAAGCAAATAGTCACCTAGATTCAGGGACAGTCTGGGAGTCTGCTTGTTGAGCAACCACTTCATGTCTAGGTGCGGCCTGCTCCCTGTTTGGTACATTACTCTCCTACTGGGTTGTGCACTAGGATGATTTGATTGGACCACCTGATAGCTTTGAGAAAACTGCACTCTAGCACTCTGTAAAATGTACAAATCCAATGTTATGACTTAAGCTTTACTAGTGGCATTCAGAGGGCATATAATGACTAATATAATGACATCAAAATTAATAAATAGCCAAAGTAATTCCTTATACTAAAGTTAGTTCTTGTACATTTGGATATGACACTACTTACTTATATGCACTAAGTAAATGACTTCCCAAAATTATGATATGTAGTGTGTTTGGAAAGTCTTGAGAGGAATACATCAATCACTACCAGTGCCATTTGACATTTGGAGCTCTGCAGAATAGTTCAAGTTGTCATTTATCATCGATCTCTACCAATGTAGATGACAAAAATGGAAAATGAATATTAGAAGGTATAACTTTGGCGCTAGTAGTATAATACTTATGAATTTAATCTCATGCTCTTCCACCTAAAACATAAATATTACAATTTTAACACTATTATCAAAAAACTTATGGAGTGAAATGACAGCTTTACTACTTAAATACACTTCTACATTAGCAGTGAATAAAACTTACTCGTTTGACCATCATTTTTCATGACCTCTTGAAGTAACCCAAAATAAGATGTGTCATTATTATCAACTTGAAGTCCATGATAATACTGAAACAAAATGTTTTGAAGTGTAACATACAAATGATTCACACAAAAGAAACAAAGAAAAAGTCATCAAAGGTAAAATCTCATTAACAAATTAACAACCTGTTGTGCTTGTGATAAAATAGGAACTTGGGTATCGTGGTGATAAAAAAGAACTCCGACAATGTTAGGTAAGTTTGATAGTCCTTGGCTTGAAGCAGCATACCCATATGTTGGGAATTGTACTTGGGGTACCATATGCTACATTGGGGGTACCATATGATGTACCATAGCCTGCATTGGGGGTACCATATGCTGCATTGGGGTCACCATATGCTGTATTGGGGTTAACATAGGTTGCACTTGCGACATAATAGGGTGACCTCCACTAGAACAAACAACCTGTTTCATTATACAATTTAGATAAAATTATTAATCATTGCTAAGAAATGAACATATCCATTTCTCAACATGCACATTACCATAGTCATGTACTTACAGGAGATTTATGTTTCAATTTTTTTTCTTCCTTTTTCTTATTGCAACAACTACTAGATTTCCCTTTCCCTTTCTATAGACAAACAATATGTTACTTACAACCAAAGATAAAAATAATGAAATTTGAAATAAAAATAAAACTTATTCTACTTTGTCGATATGGCTTTTAAGCTTAGTTGAAATTACATGGTCCTGACCCTTGCTTTCACTTGATGTCATTATTTTTGTATCCTACAAAATCAAAGAAATTCATCTCATTTCTGACACAAATGAAACAAATACTCAATTAAAATAAAATTATAATTATTGTTAACAAGAAACTTACACTATAAGTTGTAATGTTGGATTTAGGACATTTCGGTTGAGATAACTTATCATCATTCATACTCTTAGCATTTGTACCAACACGCATTGGACATGTCTTAACATTGTGCTTTGTGCTAGTACAATTTGAACAATGTCTTGACCTCTTCATACCAATCTTACTCTTCCTTGGAGCACCTTTAGTCTTAATCACATTAGGATCACAAAAGTGCTTTCCTGATGGGTTTGGTGTGTCAACAGAATCCTCTAATTTCTCATACTTATCAAGGAGTTTCAATATGTCATTCATTACCTCATTGTATAATCCTTTCTTTTTTGAAGCTATTTTGCAAAACCTTGTACAAGCACCACAATAAGCCCCAAACCGAGCAAGCTCCATCACATCAGAATCTACTCCCTTGGATGAATCTGATGACACAAAATCAATCTTAGCCTTTTTAGTCCATCGTGTCAAAATGAGACTGTTTGGAATATGGTCCACATGCTCCTCTTTCATGGCACAAAAAAATATGAGAACAAGGAATACCCCGTGACTCAAAACGTCTACATTCACAATAAAATATTGACCTTGAAGTATCATAAACAACTGTCGTTTCAACATTACGATGACAATACTTAGTCAATTTCAAAATCAATTGGTCCCCGTTTACTACTCTCCTAGTAACAATTAACGTACTAACCAATACAATCTGCTCTTTAACTTCCATAAAAACCTTTGCAATGTAGATTTTTGCAGCAGCCTTCTCAATCTCATAAAGAGATGTCGTCCATACAGGATCTGAATAGAGACTTAAAGTCAGCCACCAGTTCATTGTTCCTATATTCTCTTAAAGCTTGTTCAAAGTTATGTATAAATTCAAAAATGATGCATTTTTTCCTAACATATGTCTTCATGATTGAATTAATAGCTTCACATTGAGAAGTAGTACGTATACGGCCAAAAAATATATCACGGAAGTAAGCAGTGGCCCATGATGATCTATTCTCATATGTTTTGGAAACCCATTTGTTCCCCGCAAGTCCATGCTTCTCAACCATGTTCATCCAAAAATCTTCAAATTGCTCCGGAGTGAAATCTGAACACATTGCTTTCTTGAAATCCATCAAGAAAGGAGAACTCTTAACATTTTCACATGCATTTTTATGCAAGTGCCTGACACATAGTCGATGACATGTATCTGGAAAAACATGTTTTATAGCCTCTCTCATTGCCCCATCCCCATCTGTCACAACTGTTTTGGGATGTTTGTTTCCCATTGCTTCTAAAAATGATTTTAAGACCCATTTATATGTGTCAATGGTTTCATCTGACACCAAAGCACAACCAAATATGACGGTTTGTGAGTGATGATTACATCCAGAGAAAATTACCAAAGGATAGTTATAATTGTTTTTCCTATATGTCATGTCAAACGCAAGAACGTCACCGAAACATAAAAAATCAGATTTGTTGCATCCATCTGCCCAAAAAAGTTGCTTCAATCCACCATCACTATTAGTTGCAAATTTTGCATATAACATGGGATCATTGTCGGCCTTCCCACGAAGATAACTTAAGGCAGCAACAACATCTCCATCTCTAATCTCACCACGCATTTGACTATCAAAATAGTTATATAAATCTTTCTTGGTAAAACCAACACTAGCATATCCACCCTTTTGAGCCACCATGTACCCCATTATATGACAAGTTTTGGTTCCATATGAGTGCAAGCTATCAACTTGAGCTTTATCTGCATCCGTCAATCCACCGTAAGCTGGGAACAAGTGCACATATCTTGAAGGTGTTAATTCATAGTTATGGGCCACTTCAAAACATGTCACTATCCATATTTATTTCTTTAAGTTGTAGTGTACACGAAGCCTAGCTTGGCATTCAACTCGTGTAATACGTCTATGATTTCTTTTCCTTTCTACCATTTTGAAGTGCTTCTTGTTTCTCAAACCTTGTCTATTACATACAAATTGCCACATTATCACTTTTCCATTGACATTACGTTTCACTTCATCTTTTCTTACCACAAAACCACGACATTTTTCATATTTCTCATAAAAGTGATATGCTTCCTCTTCACTTCCAAACTCTAACCCACATATGTCATCAGTCGTCAAGTCTGTAATTTTTTTAAATTCACCATCTCTTATGTTCATATTTGAATTCACATTTTGATCATACTGTATATTATGATACATACTATCACTTTCATCAGATTCTTTAGAAGAAACAAAATGCTTAACATCTCCATCATCACTTAAATTAACTGCTGACAAATCATCGAAGTTGTCCATCAAATGTAAAGTTTACCCTCTGTTGTTTGGGAACTATTAGAAGCTATCACCTATCAAAAACTCATAACTATTAGGTATTTAATGCATATAATATAATCAAATAGCAAAACAGAAACAAAAAAAATAGATCAATATGGATAAGTTAATTTCACGTAATATACTAGGCAAAAACATAGACACACTCATAACCATAAAAAGTATACAATAACATTGATTTGGATTAGAAATTAAAAGTACATTACCCTTTTCATAACCTAGCACATGTTTATTCTTTTACCGTCAGCAATCCTATTCCTTCAATCATGGCCAAATAGACACTACTAGAAAAATTAAAATTAGAGAGGGAACAAA